GCGGCTTGATTTCTATGACAAGGGAGTTGCTCCACGCAAGAACATTGATGTCATGAAGTCTGCCATGGAGACTGCAAATGATGATGGTATGAGCAGATTTTGCCTTTTCATTGTTGGATCCACGAGTTTGTTGCCGAGATAGGCTTTCTATGTCATAATTTAACTCGCTTATCTTTTGGGATGTGACGGCTGATGCAGCTGATGCTGATACCAACATGGAAGAAGCAGCTTCAGAAAAGAAGAGCAAGAAGAAGAAATCCAAGTCGGAAGCTGCAGAGGAAGAGGATAAGTCAACTGTTACAACAAATGGAGATGGTGCGGAACCAAAATCGGAGAAGAAGAAGAAGAAGAAAAAGGAGAAGAGGAAACTTGACGATGACTCAAATGGTGTGGCTGCAATCGAAGTGGAGGAGGATGTGGCTGAGAAGAAGAAGAAAAAGAAGAGCAAAACTGAGAACGTGGATGGAGGAGAGGCTGATGGAGAGGTCAAAAAGAAGAAAAAGAAGAACAAAGATTGAAGAATGGTAGTAATTTTGATGAGTGAAAGTATTTTGGCCTCCCCGATTCTGCGAAGCAGCAGCAATTCTTATGTTATTCTTAGGAAAGAAAAGTGAACAATCTGTGTTGTCTGCTAAGTGGGGCATGTAGATTAGGTTTCTTTTTGGTTCCAGAACGTGAAGTCTTCTCAGCGGAGCCAACTAAGTTTTGGTTTTATTATTTAGCTTTTTTCACCTTCCCCTTTGCATTGGAACTTACCAAGGCAATTTTATGTTATGTCTAGGCGTGAATTTGCTTGTACAGGCTGGGCGGGGTTGATCCGGGTTTTTTTATTTAACCGGAAATTGGATCGTTTAAGATTGAGACCGGATGTATAACAATCTAATCTTGTCTTTGGTCCCATAAATAACAAAAAGCTAAAACTAGTCTAGTCCGCATTAAAACCAAATCAAAACCGAAAGATCGTAAGACCGGATAAGCTAATAAAATAGGCCCTAAAATCCAGCCCAGTGATTAAGTGATTCGGGCCTAATTGTACGCATCTTACCCCTTTCTAGTATGGAGTAGTTTCTTTTTTCACTTGGGTGTTGTGAAATCTTAACTATTTACCATGTAGTTGTTGTGTGAATTGAATGATTGTTTATGGGTGTTGTTTAATTCAATGATTGAGGTATTTTTCATGTTGATTGTGCATATTTGTGCTTAGCAATCCCATTGGCCATTCTAACCTATATTAGAGGGAAATCCCTCTTTCAAGGGAGGATCAATTGAGTTGGGATTCCTTGGGCTTTTTAAGTCACCAATCTAAGTTAATGTAGGGAAAACCTCTATGTTGAATTAAGCAATTTGGTTAAGTGCGATTAAGCCGACCAACCCTTGGGTTGAGTGAGAGAGTAAGTCAACCATCGATTGCCTTAACCAAGAGGCTACTTGAGTAGCCTATAATGTATCCCTTGGTTTGGCAATCGAGAGTGTGGTCTACGACCATTATTGTGTTTCCTAGCGGTTCGCGGTCACCTTGCCCGTAGCAATTAATTCGATTCCACATGCCATGGTAGTAGTTAGGGGAAACGACACCCGAGTGATCCTTCTCACAAAGAGCTTTCAAAACCATTTACTTTTGTCTTGTTTTACTTTAATTAGCAAACTTTTCAACCAAAACCGATTTGCTAGATAATGTTTCAAACAATTGAAGTAGTGGTACACGGACCGACCCGAATCAATATTTAAACATACTTGCCCTGTATTGCACCCTACTAAGGTTTATACTTTGACCTTAGGCGGGAATTAATTGTGATATTCTGGACGAGTCACTGCCAGAGCCCAGCCCACAAACAAGCCCAGGCTCACTCGGTGGCCCCTACCTCCAAGCCAACGGCCAATTTAATTTACCGTAATCATTTTTACCTCCCGCAGCGCAGAGTTCGCACCCTGCCACCCGCAGTCGACAGTCCGCTCTAGCTCGGCAGCTCCTCCCTTTTTGTCACGCTACCCGAGATAGGAGAGGAGAAGAGAGGACAAAGCTTCCGTCTCGTCGCCGTTGGGCAACTTCTATCCCGGATTGGCAGCTCTCCACTCTACCGTCGTTCTCACAGTCAACGACTCTAGATCTTCCCTTACAGTTGCGCGATGCGAGATCAAAGAAAAGAATCAGCTCATTGCCATCCGTCCCAGCTCGTCGTAATTAGTCCTATTTCACTGTCGTCGATCCCAGCTTCGGTCCTAGCTCGATGGATCTCTAATCTGTCGTCGATCCACCCCTCTCGGTCTGGGTATATGCTACTGAACTTTTCGACAGGGTCAAAACTGCATTGGGACCGGGGCTGGATAGACCGGGACCAGGTTAAAAACCGGACTGTACCCAATCCACTCTTTGGTCCTCATATTTCCAAAATGACTGGACCGAGACCGGGTGAATCCGGGTCGTTGTAACCGGACTGGACCGTATAGCTACCCCTAGTACTGGCCCCAAGAATCACACGCTTCTCCAACTGCTCAACCTCTTAAGCTCCAGCCGAAACGGGCTTCTCCACTCCTTCCTTGCGGAGAATGCTACCACGAGATAACAGGCTTCAGGCTCGGAGAAGTCTCAGATTTCATATTTATGTTGAAAAACTAGTTGCGGGTTGCATTTTGCACGCATCAACTGAAATAAAATCCATGAGGATACAATCTTTCAAACTTGGAGAATCTAGAAATATAGAAATAAAGTGACTTTTTAATTCTATCAACCTATTGTTCGTTCCCTCGCTAGACATTTCTACAACCAGCTCCTTGAAGTCTCCTATTATTACCCCCTCCTCCACCCCCAGATCGCTCTCTCCAAATCCTCTTCCATTCTCTTAGGATCCTCCACCAGACAACTATTTGAAGATCAACTTTGATGTAGTTGTTCGTGACTCTGGGTGCTCGTATGGTCTTGTTTTCCGTGGGTCAGATGGGCATGTGGTGCTGGGAGCTGGTATGCGTCACCAGGGAGTAGTCAACCCCTACCTGGAAAAGCTCCCAGCAGTAAGAGTTGTTGTCACCATCGATGCTTCAAGATTCTTGTCTCACGTGATGGTGAAGGTGATTCCGAGGTGGTCGTAAACCAGATCTGGCAAGGTGTTCTAGAAGTTTTATTTGGAGGTTCGGTGCTCCGGAAGTGTCGTCAGATTCTAGACTCTTTGTTAGTCTATATAGAGTTTAGGGCAGTTCTTAGAGCCGCCAACAGTGCTGGCCATTGAGTGGCGCGTATAGTACTGTTATTATCTCTCATAGAGTTAGAGTCTTTCGACTTTATTGGGTGGTTTCACTAGGGTGTCTCTTGTACAGGGTTTCTGGATAGTTTTGTTTGTATAACTCTTGCCTTCTATTGATATCACTTAGAAATAAATATCCGGCTTCCTATATATTCATTCTCAATTAATTTTCCATAATCAATCTCCCTCTCTCAATCTTAATGTATCTTTATGATTTTTCTCGTATGCAAGTTTCCATCAATCTTTCTTCATATCTCTTTGTGTCTGTTGCCAACCAGACATCAAACATAAGACCATCAACAATGTGGGTGGGAGGGAAATGTGGGAAAATAGGGAAAAGAGGGAGAGGGGGAGGTTTAGGTCACAATTTGGGGGGGTGGGGGGGGGGGGGGATGGGTAATTAGTTTAGCACTTTTTGGTAAAATCAATCTCTAGTTGATTTCGTCACTTTATAGAATGATCATTATTTTTCGTAGTTAGTTATAATTAATTAATACAAACATTTGGATATTTTTTTTTAATTTGAACATACTTTTTTCATTACTAATTAAATATGACGTAATCAATAACGAAATCACAATAATACGAGATGACCATGACTCAGAAAACTATTTATAAACAACTTAAAAAAAAAAGCAAGCCTGGCGCGAGGCCCCGCAGTGGGCCATCCCCCCTCCCTTGCATCCCCTAAAAATTTTCATTATGGCATTTTAGTACCTAAAATTTTCACATTTTACATATTGGTCCTTGGTTGAGGATGTCATTTGGATTCATGGATAATACACCAATCCACTTGATCCAATTCATGAATCCACCAATCCATTGTATCCAATCAATTTGATCCATGGATCCACCAATCCATGGATCAATCCATTTGCCACCTCCACCTGTAGTGGTGGGTATTCCCCCATTTTTTCCTATTTCTCCAGCTTTCTTTTTCCACCCATGTTGTGGGTTTCTTTTCCCCTAAACCCAACCACGTTGTGGATGGTCTAAGAGATTGACAAAAAAAAAAAAAAAAAAAACTGTAAACGTACGTAAATGGTGATAGTTGTCTTGGATTAACGAAAATAATAATAATAATAATAAATCAAAGGGATAATGTTGGAATAAATTGTTCGATTGTGTGGATTTCGAAATTCTCATCCCTTAAATCTCTCGTTTTCTTTACCTTTTGGGGTAATACCACTAGGAAATCCGAACTATCAAGATTGTGTCATTTGTCTTCTAAATGATCCAATATGACATTTGTGTCCCAACCTAAGATAGTTGTGTTGTGTGTCATTTATGTCCTGACGATTTTGTTGACCGTTATATATAACGGTTGACCAAATAGTGGTCAACTTGATGTTGACTTTTGATGACGTGGCAAACACGTGGCAGCCACGTAGATGCCATGTCATTGACACCTCATATTTTTAATTTAAAATTATATAAATACTAAATTAAAAAATGTAAACTAAAAAATATAAATGATCCAAAATTTTGTAATAATAAAATAAAATAAAAAATAGAAATCTCACGATTCTCTACCAATTCGCCTCTCTCTAAAAAATAAAATTCTTTAGTCCCTGTGCGCCGCCTGATGAAGAAGTCGTCAGATCCAGATGAAGAAGACGATCAGCCGCTATTTTTCGACCAACAGGCTCCTCTACTGGAGAGGGTTGTTTTGGGATGGAGAAGGTCGAGGGGAGCGACCGATGCTAGTGGATGATGAGGTAGAAGGGGCAATTTATAGAATGAGGCGGGAAAGCCAATTTTTGCGTGGTTGTTCTTTTTTATGGAGGGGAAAATGTCAAGGAGATCGGGCACTTGCGTGAGGTGTTGTTTGGTGATATTCGGCGGTGGTTTCGACTCTGATGATTTGCAGACCGATAATTTATTGGAGATTCAAGAAGATGATAAGGTTGTCCGATTCCAAAGCTTCTTCTGATCAACTCCCTCGCAAATCCGATTCCTCCCAACACCCATTCGTTTCCCCCACTCCGTCTCCCCCTACGTCGCCCGTCGCAAATCCCACGACCATCGTGGCGGCGACGGAGTCAACGACGTTCTCGACTCCTGGTCACACAGCCACCACCTTCCTCATCTGCCTCGTCTTACTTCCAGGGGAAGTATGCCAAGCTGTCTCTCTTCGCCAATCTCTTTTGATCCAGATCCAACAAACTGCGGAATCCAGATCCCGATATTGATGTCGCTGCTGCGGATTCAGTTTAGCCTGCTGGCTCTTCTTCTTCTTCCTGGTTTTCTTCGATCCTACTTAGTCGATGGAAGAAGCAATCTGTTGTGGTGAGGGCCAGCCCAACCAACACTGGAACTAGAATGCAGGGAGCTTGGCGAGGTGCGGGTGGCGGTGAAGCCAAATCTCTCCATGTCTGCATCGTATTGCGCGAATCGGTCCCGAAAGCTAGCGGACTTCGAGTGGGCGATGATGGGAGAAGTAAGGGGAAATCGACGACAGAGGTTGGAAGACGGGAGAGGGAAAGGGAAATTCCCAATCGATTAGTTTATGTTTATGTTTTTTTATTATTTTATTATTTTCTTTTATGGAAAATAATTATTAATTCCACTTCAGATGCAACATCAGCGCTGACTAGACTTTCTGTTAAAAATTAACGGTCAACACTGGTGAACTATAACAAAAATTTAGTTTAGGACACAAATGTCCTATTGGATACTTTAGGACACAAATGACACATTATTCATAGTTCAGGTTTCCTAGTGGTATTTGCCCTTACCTTTTTGTCAATGATGAATTCAGGCAAATACCACAAAATGAGGGATTTGAACGAAATCTTTCATCTTAAACCCTAATCTAAATGACCCCATCCTAGGATTAATTCCCTAATTTTTATAAATTTACCAAAAATATAGAGGCTTAAAAAGTATTAATTGGGATATTGTGTTTTGGAGGGGAGAAATAGCGAGTTCGCCTTACACTCTGGTGGATCCGCTTTTTATGCTTTTTAATTTGGTATGAGCGGACCTGCTCGAGTCTGAGGCGGATATATTGGCGCAGATAATGAAGATTCCCAAAACAATTGACCAGTGGAGCCGCTCATGTCTGAGGCGGATCCGATGACTTGCCCACCCACTCTAGCACCATATAACGAACGATTTTCTTTCAATTGCTCACCACAAAAAAACCGATTTTCGAAGCTAAACGAGAGGAGCTCTGCTGGTTGCTGCAAAGATGGCTAATAGGTAAGATACATTTATGTTTTTAATTATATTCTTAAAATGCAATTATGATTTTGTTTAGTTAGCACTTAGTGAATTTGTTTTTTATGTAGTGATTTTAGAAGATTTGAAATACTCGTTCGGTGGAATCGGAGAAAGTAGAGGACAATTTGGGGGTCCATTTCATTGGTGGTAGAAGCTTTCAGTTGATAGTTCCATACAAAGTGATATCATTAATTTTGTGAGAATCTAATTCCGAGAAGACATCATAAAGACGAAGCAGTACAAGATAGTGATATGATCACATGTTTCACTTACTGTCTTCAAGAATGACAGAATGGTGTTATATTTCATTATGCGATGCCTATTGTGTATGATGTTAGGTGATTCAGACCTAATTGCACATGTTTTGCCCCCAATTTGCTTAGATGTTTGTGCAAAGTTCGTTAATTAAAGATTGGTTTTACGCGAGGTTCTTCGTGTTTGAGTGCTTTTCAGGATTTAACAGGTGGAACCAACCTCAAAGTCGAAAGATTGGCGAAACGGATCGAAAACCGGGAGAAGAGGTGAAAAAGCGCCAGTTCACGGCTAAAGGAAGGAGTTCACGGTCATGCAAGACAGTGAAGAAAGGGAGTTGACCGTGAAGTGTAAGGTGTCCAGAGCCAAGTTGAAGGTTACCGACACAAGGCGAGTTCACGGTCACTAAGACCATGAACACAAGCAGTTGCTCATGAACTCACGTGAGAGATGCGGAGCGTTTTGGCGCGTGGCTTGAGTTCACGGACACGTTTGATGGTTCACGGCTGTGAACTCAGGCCGTGAAGTCAGCTCTTCTCAGGTTTAAAAGTTGAGCTGCAAGGGAGAGAGGGGGAGAGCCCACTTTTGTGAGAGAAAAACCTTCTTCAGCATTCTAGTGAGAGAAACAGAACCAAAGGGAAGAAGGTTAGGGTTTGCATCCAAGGCAGATTTTGGGAAAATTTCCCCAAGGAGATCTCAGCTCAAGGGTCAAGAAGAGAGGAGGCATCCTCAAAAGATGGTTTCCACCTTTTTCCCTTTTGTTCTTCCCACTTCTACCATGAAGTAGTCCTCCTTTCACTTGGGTGTAGTGAAACTCTAACTCTACCATGTAGTTTTCTTGTATGTCTATTGGATGATTGATATTGGGTATTGTTCATAATAATGTTTGAGGCATTATTCACCATGATTGTGCAGGCTTGTGCTTAGCAACTTAGGGGTTGTGCATATTTTGTGCTTAGCATCCTAGGTATCGTGCGAAATTGTGCTTAGCACCCCTAAGTTTGTGCATTTAGGTGCTAGTAATCTAATTTGCCACCTTAGCCTAGTTTAGAGAGGAAAATCCCCCTTTCAAGGGAGACTCAATTGAGTTGGTTTTCCTTCCACTTTCTAAGCTACCTAAACTAGGTTGAGTTAGGGCAACCCTCAGTATTGAATTGAACAAGTCGATTAATCGTGGTTAAACCGTATGACCTTGGAGTTGAGTGAGGGAGTAAGTCGATTACTGATAGTCTAAACCGAGAGGGTCGAGTGACACGACCTTTCATCCTCACCTCGATTTAGCAATTGAGACCGTGGTCCCCGACCACATACACTTTCCTCTACGGTTCACGATTAACGTGACCAAGGCAATCGTTCCAACCCACGTAGCATGGTAGCGGTTAGGGGGAAGCGAAACGCAAGTGACTTTCCCACAAAAGAGTTTTCAAACCAAATTACCTTTGCTTTATTCATTTCAATGAGAAAACCTTTAAACCAAAGTTTTATCGCTAGATAATGATTTCAACAACCGAAGTAGGGGTAGACGGACCGACCCGGGCCGATATATAAATACTTTCCCTATACTGCACCAGATTAGAGTTTAAAAATTTGGGCTCTAATTGGGGTTTAAGTGTGGTGTAGTTTCGTGCGAGTGAGTAGGTTGAAGGTATTTTTCGATTTTATGGCACAAAACCCTTAGGGATCTTTTGGATTAGGAATTTTAATAACGAGGGATTTGGGTCTAAATCTCTCGTTTAAAATACTGGAGAATTTATATGTAGGATTTGACTGAAATAAATCGTTGAAGCTAAAATACAAAATAAATTTAGTGCCCCCATCTTCTTCTACCTCTTTGTCTTCTTCCTTTGTTCATTCTTTTGACCAAACCCATAAAATAAGCCCATTCTTATTCGACGGAATAATTGTCAGCTTCCTCCTCTCCTTTCCAACACCACACAAGCAATCCTCTGAACCCCAAACCCAGAGATCACTCACTGCCGTATAGTTCCAAACACCTCTCTTCTCCTCCCGCCAACAGATCTTGGTCTCACGCCCATTTCCACTCCCCTGACGCAGCAAACTCGGATTTCATTAATTCTAGTCCCAGTCCCTCACCGCCCCTGCAACAATGAACAATCCCACCAATCCCAAAGTAATAGAAATGACAAATGGAAGGAACTGGAAGCCCTTTCACATTCCACTTCCCCTCGGCGGAGACAACGAATGCAGTGGATGATAAACGAAGGGCTTGTTCAAAAGTGATTTGAGGGGGCAGAGCTGTTGCACTTCGTGATTTGGGAGATGAGAAACGGAGGGCTTGTTCAATCGATGGGAGCAAGATAATGGAGTGGGCTTGCTCACATAATCGATGTTGTCGTCAGTACTCACCGTCGCCGAAAGGAAGAAGAGAGGCCAGAAGAGAAAATAAACGAAAAAGTTGCAGCGGATGAACTAGGCTGAAGGGTAAAGATGGGAAAATTTTAAATTAAGATGAGGGATTTAGAAATAGCTGATGGCCATAAGCTATTTCAAAAACCCATATTTGAAGAATTTTGAAATTTCTAATTTTAAAATCTCTCATTTTAGCCAAACAAGTGATTTTATTAAAATCCTGCACAATGAAAGATTGTTTTAAAATCTCTCATAAATCCCTCATCACATTCCCTAATCCTAACGACCCGTTATTGTTTGGTTGCTGAGATACATGCTGAGATTAATCAGGATCAGGGTGAAGATGAGACATGAAGTGTGCCATCTGATCATGACTATTATGAGGGTGAGGAGGAAGATGAGGAGGAGGAGTACGATGAGGAAGAAGGGGAAGAAGATGGCAAATTATCATATGCTGATTCATATGGCGTAATTCCAGTGCCTATTGTTGCTGGTTTTGAAGGAGAATTCTACAAGGGGCAGATATTTCACTCCAAACAAGCTGCAAATGTGGCGATTAAATACTATGCACTACAACGAAACTTTCAGTATGTCGTGGCGTAGTCGTCATGACACGCTACGACACAACACCTAACAATGGCCAAGTGTAAGTAATGAAAGGGACTGCAGTATAGTGGTGCAAGTAATAAATATCGAATCCTCGGGTCTCTAGATGTACTATTACTCAGCTTCAGTTCATTATCTAGCAAATCAGATTTAGGATTGATTAACTAAACTACTCTACTAACTAAACTAAGTAAAACTACTAATTACAGTTTGGGAACTCACTTAGGCAAGATTCCCCATAGCTCCTCAATTAGGTCCAAGTTGTAATTCCTTTTGGTTGTTTTACTGTTGATTAAACTGCGGAAGATCCTAAATTAGCTTGGAATCTCTTAAGCTGACCAAGCTCTCTTAGACAGAATACCCGCCAGGAGACTAGCCTTCAGCGGGATAGACTGCTAAGGCGATTCACACAGATATCCACTACTGGAATGAATTCCAGTACAAAGCAGTGAATTAACTGACTCTCGCACAACCAATTCAAAGGTTAACCTAATCAGGGACGGAGTCAGGAATTTCATTTAGGGGGGGGGGGGGGGGGGGCGATAATTAAGAGGTGCGGCGTGGAATGGTGAAAGCAAATTTATGATATTCAATAGCAATATTGACGATAAGTGTTGAGATAAACTTATCGAATCTTATGTTGATGGACTAGTCTCGATTTCAAGAAAACTACATAAAAAATTTTATCACTCATTTTTTCAAACAATCATTCGATATTTATTGTAAGAGCTAAATGATAACCGTGATTATGAAGTGATTCTAAAAATTAAGATAAAATTCCATGAGAAAAATTTTGCAAAGAAATTTTTGTTAGTCTAAAGAAAACACTAAACAGACAAAAATGAAATATCATAGTCTCAAGAACACTACTTACCGTACGAGCTAATAATTAACACATATGAATTATAACACATATGAATTATAACATTGTAATTAACACATATTTATTATCAAGTTGTCAAAAAGGATTTTATGAGCAAATAACTACCATTGTCAAACAAGAGTGAAATCAAATAACTATGTAATTTAATAAGAAATAAAGAAAAAGGAGACATAGGGACAAAATATAATAAATTACAAATGAAACCCAACCCATTATGATTTGTTGAGACAACAATA